CTGAGCACCAGAGCAGGTAAGTAAGGAAAGGAGAGACAAACAACCCATCTTGCTTCTGCACTCTTCTTTTGCTCTCTCTGGCAAGATTTCAGGGGGTTCTGAATCCTGCAGAGCCTGTTCATGTGGGGTTTTTTTGAGGGAGTCAAGACACATCCTGAACTTGGGTCTCCTGGCTAGGACATCTGGTTTCTGTGCTTTCCTTTCAGCAGCTGATGCCAAGATACTTTTCATATTGCAGCCACTTGAGTTACTTTTTTTATTCCAAGTCCCATAATGCCTGTCCCTGTGCCAGGCTGAGCTTAAGGAATCCCACGAGCATTTTATTTCTGCAAGCACCAGACTTCAGGCGGGAACAGACTTCCTCTAAGTAAGCTGGTGGAATTGCTTCTTGAGTTTGCTGAACATGGACGTGCTCTCTAGCTGGCAGACAGACTCCACTGAGAGCCTTTTGCTGTCCTGAGACTGCAAAGAACACCCTGGGACTGCCATCTGTGCTCCTTCCCCTCCTGGCTCTTCAGGCAGATCTGTGTCTCCTACACAATTTTAGACGTCTCAGTCTTTATAGTCAAGCAAGGGCAGATGCAGGCTTCTCTTTGTCTCCCGAGGAGGGATCCCACACTGCTTGCTCTCAAGCATCAAACTTGAACTAAATCTTCCTTTGGGCTTCTTGTCAGGCCCTCCTGGATGAGCCTGGCTCCAGTGACACTGCAGTGCGTTGAGGGGAGTATGGAGAGAGACTGAAGAGAAGTGCCTAATGGTAGGAATAAGTGTGTCTCTCACCACAGTGCCTGAACTCTCCCTGCCCATCTCAGCCAGACTTAGGAATTGTTTTTCTCTGCACATTGCTATGTCTGGCCAAAGCATCTCGTATTCAGCTGGGACCGAGTGTGCTAACAGTATTTCCATCCCATATTATGGACAGAGATTTTCAGGTGCATGGCTTGTCTCCACTTGTATGTTCTGATTACGGTGAAGAGGTGCTTGGCAAGAGCTGTAAGAAACGTAAGGCAGCAGGCTCCTCCCTCTTTAACGACAGTACATTGTCACAATAGTGAGTCTTAAAAAAAAAAAATTACTGTATTTTTTTCCTTTCATTCCATGAGACCCCAAACTCTCACCTGAAAAGCTTTTAAGCCATGTAAATACCTAGCTCTAGTTGTTGTGTAGTTGGGCACGGTGTTTTCCACTGTTTCAGCAGTTTATTTACCAGTTGCTTTTGTGCTGCAACCAAGCCCTGACTTGGGCGGTCCCTTTTGTAGCCCCAGTGAAGCCAGTCCTTGCTGAGTTCACCTGTCTGCCAGCTGAGGAACGTGTCTGTGTTCCTCAGTCATGACAAACAGTCCCCTTTGCATTCGTTCACTTGCACCCACCTTTTTACTACAGTGCACAGTACGGCTCTTTTTTTGGCTGTTGGCAGAAGGCTGGAAGCACGGAGAAGTGCAGAACTGGAAGGCTCACTCCTCTTTTTAGATCCTTGTGAGACTCATGTTTGGGGTTGAGAGATGGATTGAATTAGATATAGTTGATCAATTCTGACAGAACCTTGCACAGCATAAATTCCCCAGCTGCTCCTTTTTTTTTTTTTTTTTTTCTGCTGGTGACATATTTTATGACCTTCTTTGTTCACAGGTGGAGTTGGCATGAACCTGACAGCAGCAGATACAGTTATTTTTACTGATAGTGATTTTAACCCACAAAATGACTTGCAAGCAATAGCACGAGCTCACCGGATCGGGCAGCACAAGTGAGAAATTTTGCTACTTCTGGTTTCCTTGGTGACTCTCTTGGCCTCTCAGTGTTGCTTTCCCTGTTCATAGGCAATGGAGGGTTAAAGCACAGTAGGTTGAAGACCAAAGAAGGAGAGCAGAGAGGACTTTATGTCTTCATTTTTCCGTTGCAGCCTCATGCAGCCTTGTCCTTGTTGTGTGCCTAGGGTGGGAGCTTTGTAGGTTTGGAGGAGGAGAGGGAATCTGGAGGTTTGCTCGCGCTTCTGCAGCGAGCATTCCTCCTGTGTCAAGAAGCAATTAGATAAGCATTACGTTTCTGCTGATTATTTTTGCTGATTTTGTTCTTGCCTTTTTTTCCCTACCCAAATACTGGGTGAGGGGATAGTGCTCCGTGCAAGTGAGCTGCTTTAGTGCACCTGAAAAGATGGAAAATAATAAGAATTTTCTTAAATTTTTCCAGGCCTGTAAAAATTATCCGCTTGATTGGGCGAGATACGATCGAAGAAATAATCTACCGAAGGGCTGCTTCTAAGCTCCGACTGACAAGTGCCGTTGTAGAAGGGGGTCAGTTTGCTCTGGGAGCGCCCAAGCCTCAGGGATCAGCAGAGTTACAGGTAAAATAGAGCTGTATCCTCAATTTGACTCCAGAAATGTCTTTAGAAATGTCCCAGAGTGTTTCTGTATTTATGTCTGATGTGAACCTAGCCAGACACTTAGGTTTTGAGGGAGATGTGCACTGACGTGACAGCTTTTGCATGTCTTAGGAACCAAAATGACATCCCAGGTCCAGACAAGATCTGACGTTCGAAGACAGTTTTTACAATTTTGAGGCTCAGCCATTGTTGAAAAAGGGAGTGTTTTCTTGGAGAAGAGGGGAAGGCAGAACCTCTCCTTGTTTTACTTGTTTATTTTTAATTATAACAGGTCTAAAGTGGAAGCCGACTCATTGTTTCTAGAACTTTCCTGGCTCTGGTGCTTTTCTCTCTCAAATGGAGCTGATGATAAGTACTTAGCCAGCTTTTGGTTGCTAGTCTGAAACTCAGTCAGCCTTCTGTTAACCTCTTGGCCTATGCAATGTCTCAAAAGTCAGGGCATGATTTATAATTCTGACCCGAAAGCTGAGGTTTGTGCTGAGAACTTGGGTTGAAAACCTCAAGCAAACTGACATTCAGGGCGATATACACCCTGTGTGCAGATAAACCTGGGAGAGGTTTGGAATTCGTGTATCCTTTCCCCTGCCATCTCCCCTCCCTGCCCCATCAGCGTGTATCTCAGCAATTATCGTTTCCATGGGAGAAGTGGAACTGAGTCCATAAGAAGTTCCATGCTGATGTTTTTCTCCCCATGGATTTTTGTGGCATTGGGGGCAAAACCAAGCCTGGCTATGAAGAAAGCTGCTTGACTGCAGTCAGTACAGTGCTGTTTTGTCATTTAGCCCTGGAGAAAAATGACCCATTCGAGTCTGGATGAGTTATGTTTGAGGGATATATGTTGTAGGGGCCTGTCCCATCAGGTGCTAGGAGAACCAAGTGTGTTAAAGCCTAAGTATATTGACAGGTAACATTAGGGCTTAGATTCCTCTGCTTGTACATCCTTTATATTTAAGCGTGAGAAGCTCGAGACACTGGGATTGGCATGGAATTAGGAGATTTTAATACTGAACTTCCCCTTCTTTTTATTAAAGCTGAGTGAAATCTTGAAATTTGGCTTGGATAAATTGCTCTCCTCTGAGGGGAGTACTATACAGGATGTGGAGCTAGAAAACATCCTTGGAGAGACAAAAGGAGGGAAGTGGGTGACGGACGTTGCGCTGCCACGCGAAGAAGAGAGTGAAGAGGAGGATACAGAGAGTAAGTTCAGAATCTAAATACCTATGAAATGCATGGCACTTGGGTGCTGGTAGAGAAGGCTTCCCAGGCAGGGGTGGGACTTTCAGGCAGCAAGAAGAAAAGTGGACTGCTAATTATGTAGGTGACTTGGGATTTTGTTTGTGGCTCACCTACAGACTTTATTTCTGAGCCTTTATTGGTCTTTTTCTTCTTTTTTTGTGTCCTTATTTGCCTATTTGTAAGATAATGGTAACGATACTTGCCTGGTTGGTGGCTAGGGGGCTGAATTCCTTCATATGCTTCAAATATTTTGAGAATTAGTGAGAAAAGTGGAAATATTCAAATTGCAGCTGCTGGTTTTCCCACAGAGAACCATTAAGCTAGATATACAGCTTTAGAGATATAATAGTAATTTAAGGAAAAGCTTTATAGCAGGTGGTTTGTATTTATCTCCAAACAAAAGATTATTGGCCATGAAAATCACACATTGAAATGACCTTAAAAAAATTCCAAACTGAGATAAGAAATGCAGAGTTATGTAGTCTAAACAACTAGAACAAACCTACTGTGTCTTCAGTACTCTACCTTCCAGTCAAAATGTCCCACACTTGCAGTTAGTTTTTCACAGCCCCATACTGTACAATAAAAAATTCTAAAGGTACTTTCCCTCTTCTAGTGTCATGGTGAGAAAGACTGGATTTCTGTTTTGAGTACACAGCAGCACTTAAATACAGATCTGTGACTGAAGCAGAAATATGGACCTGCAGGACAGGTATTGTCTGTCCTGCAGCGGTTGTTGGCAACAAGTAATTATTTGCTGAGACTGAGCAAAGAGTGTTATTTTTTGTTAGTACCTTGAAGAGGAGCAGTGGTAGCACGCTGTGTGATGCTTGTGGGGAACGTAGCTCACCTGATGAGCAGTAACTCTGGGTTGCCAGAGTTCCGTGCTTTTATTTTGTTTGGGAGCTCAAAAGAACATGTACGCTATCCATTTCAGAGTTGCCTGTAACTAGATAGCACAGCTAAATGAATTCACTACTGGCAGAGATGGAATGACCAAAGAGAACGGTGAAGGAAATGCATCTTCAAGTAGTTAAAGAACCAAAATAGGAAAAAAGATTCTTTACCAGTATAAATGACTTCAGTGAAAAGCTTTTGCCTAAGGAAGCAAATCTTGATTTTGTTGTTTCTACATGGTGCTGACACTGGTTATTTAAAAAAAAAAAAAATATTATGAGAGTGAATGTCTTTTTCTGCTGAGGGTAGAAAAGTGTCACAGAGAAGCCAAAGTTATTTTGATGTTGCTGTACACTTTAGATGTTAGTGGCTTTCACTTCCTTTTTACACATTTTAATTATTTTTTAAAGATCACATGTATGTGTACGAAGGCAAAGATTATTCAAAAGAACCCAGCAGAGAAGACAAAAAAGCATTTGATCAGCTTTTGGAACTTCAGAAAGCCTTGACTGAAGAGACCAGTAAGGAAGGGAGAGCTCTCCGGAACAAAGCAAATGTAAGACAAAAGACATGAAAAGGCACACGATGCTCTTTCATTTGCTCGTGGGAAACGAGGCTGACAGTTTTCTCTCTTTGCCTACAGCTTGCAGAACGTACGTTAAAAGATTTGGATTTCAATGTAGTAAAGTTAGTGCTCGAATCTGAGGGCTTGTCAGCTTCAGCAGTTCTGATAACTGATCAGAGATACGATGTGCGCCACACCAGTATAAACTTAGGTCACAAAACCACTTATTATGTGACAATTGCCATCTGGTGATTAAAACCTGTGGGCAAGTAGACAAATGGGAAAGGCACAGAAGTTAGGGTGGGTGCCAGACACAGCTTTAAAATGAGCAGTGTGTTTCCATGATACTGCCTTCTTTTTCCAGGCCCTTCTCACAGGCCTCCGGGAACAGTCAACCAGGAGGAAGCACTTGTTGAGCTCAGAGGAGCTGGAGGCTAGGAGGAAGAAGCGCCAAGAAGCAGCAGCAAAGAGAGCGAGGCTCATGGAGGAAAAGAAGAAGGCAAAAGCAGAGGCAGAACATAAGAAAAAGTATGTATTGCATCCACTACTTGTAAGCTGATGTCTGTTCCACTATGCTCTAGAAATGTGTGTCTGACTGACAAAAACAAGTCATGCTCTGTATCCACCCTCCATGCTCTGTATCCATCCACCATGGCAGGTGGGGCTGGGCACGAGGGGAGGAGAACATAACAAAATGGCTGCAGGCCACCCTCGTGAGAGGGTTAGCTTCGTGCATCAGGATGTTTCCATGTGTGTGCTCAAACTGCATAACTTAGGCATGTGAAGGTGGAAAAATGGCTTGAGCTTCTGGCAAGGGTTCTTTTCCTCTGAATACACTGCCTGACTTCACATCTAATTTAATTCATAAAGAGTGGCCTGAATAAAAACCTCATATCTGAATGTGCAGTGAGCTTCTGGGAGAAGCTTTCTGAAACGTCACAGTTGGCCCCTATGTATTGGTCTGACATCTGTGACTCTCTGGCATGTGTCTCAACTTTCTCCTCCTTTTTTCCTAGGTGTTCTTCCTTTTCTCCACTGTAAGCAGCTCCTTGCCCTGTGTCAAATGCTCACTTTTTCCATGCCTGCAACTGTGTTATCATACTGGCATGTGGCTCTTAATATCAAAGTTAAGAACTGCGATAGACTTGGTTTCAGTCTAAAATAGGGGGGAGAGCAGAGGGAATGCAGGGCTGGGTCTCCTGTGTTTCACTGCAATGATTTAAACCAAGGTGCATTCCCCTCACCTCTGATTTTCGTTGAACATCATCTTCTCTTGTTTTGTTTCAGGCTGGCCTGGTGGGAGGCAAATCATTACACATCAACCTGCCTTCCTTCAGAGGAAAGTGACTCTGAGGAAGAGTTTGAGGAGGATGAGGCTGGGCTGAGTGTGGATTTAGATTACAAAGATGCAGACCTGAACTGTATCAAGTATGTCATGGGAGATGTCACCCACCCCAAAGCAGAAGAGGAGGATGCCATCATTGTCCACTGCCTAGGTAGAACTTGTGACAACAGGAATGTTGATGGGTGAGGTGGAAAGGGGGGCTGAATTGTCCCTGCTGGCTCAGTAGTTTCTAATTCCTATCCAGACTGAGATAATTTTTGTTTCATTTCAATCTTGAGTGGTGCAGAGGCAATACAGACTCTACTACATGTGTAACTCACACAAGTACTAGCAAGGTGTACATGGATCTTTTCATGCCCTCTCTGGATTTATGGGTGAGCCTCTTGAAAGGTGCCTGTAGGGCTTGAAATTGTATGTCTGTAGCCAAGTGGAGACAGTTCTTCCTGAGATGAGGGCCTTTTGTTCATCCCATGTAAACTGAGGCATTGAATTGAGATATTGAAAGTTGTCTCCCTTATACAGTCAGCAGAGAGATACAGGCGTTTCCAGAGGCCGAGGTGTGAGCTGCTCTCTCTTGGTGCTTGTTTCCCAACACTGACAGTGCAGAGGTTCTATGCTAGTCTCCTATTTTAAGGACCTCTGTTAAGATACTGAGGCTGAGGGAGAGAAATTCAGGTTACAGAGTTCCTCCTCAATCAGCTCTTCTGACCAAGGCTATAGCAGAAGATTATAACCCACTTTGGCTTAAATTGAACTCAGCACAAAAACTCACAGAATCATAGAATCACAGAATAGTTTGGGTTGGAAGGGACCTCAAAGATCATCTAGTTCCAACTCCCCTGCCATGGGCAGGGACACCCTCCACTACACCAGGTTGCCCAAAGCCTCATCCAGCCTGGCCTTGAACACTTCCAGGGATGGGGCATCCACAGCTTCTCTGGGCAACCTGTTCCAGTGCCTCACCACCCTCAGAGTGAAAAATTTCTTCCTTATATCCAATCTAAATCTCCCCTCTTTCAGTTTAAATCCATTGCCCCTTGTCCTATCACTACATGCCCTTGTAAAAAGTCCCTCTCCAGCTTTCCTGTAGCCCCTTTAAGTACTGAAAAGCTGCTATAAGATCACCCCGGAGCCTTCTCTTCTCCAGGCTGAACAGCCCCAAGTCTCTCAGCCTGTCTTCATAGCAGAGGTGCTCCAGCCCTCGGATCATCTCCGTGGCCTCCTCTGGACCCGCTTCAGGAGCTCCATGTCCTTCTTGTGTTGGGGACTCCAGAGCTGAATGCAGTATTCCATGTTTGAAGTGGAAATGCCATATGAAAGTAAAAACCTGCACCAGTCTGGGGACACACTAGATGCCTGCTCTATGCACATATTATGTGCATGTATGTGAGGATACCGACAGGTTTATGGGCTCAGTGCCATGGTTAGTGCTTGTTTGAGCATCCTCAGTGGACAATAAGAAGGAATTCTTCCTGTAGAGTTTTTCAGGGAACTGTGACAAGTTTGTTTTTCCTCAAGGGCTGAGTTTTGTCCTCTAGGATGGTCCCTTGAGTACTGGTTGACTTCAGTTCATGTCTGGTTCCCATGTCTGTTTCTGATAATCATTTGTTGTGTTTGTACAGAGTAGGTCCCTTTCCTGCAGGGGTGGTCTTCAACCTCACTTTCTAAAAGGAATCTAACTTGTAATTTCATTCTAGATGACTCTGGCCGCTGGGGAAGGGGTGGTTTATTTACAGCTCTGGAGGCTCGTTCTGATCAGCCAAGGAAAATATATGAGATGGCAGGAAAGATGAAAGGTGAGAGATTAAAACTGACTTTAGGCCAAGATACTTGAAAAAGCTGAAATCCCACTGGTGTTGCAGGAGTGAGGTGCCTGGATACCTTGGTACTCATGCTTTTTTCCTCTTTCTCTAGATAGTTGCATCCCTAGCTCTGAAAGCAGTAATACAGCAGGAGCTTTCACTTGAGTTGTTAGGAGTGTGAGAACTCTGCATAGGGGTTGGTCATTCCAATCCATGCTGCAAGTCACAAAAAAAAAAACAATCAAAAAAGAACCAAACCAAAACCAAAAAAAACCCCACCAACTTGTTCATTATTCCCAGGATGTTTTTCACTATATAAGACAGAGCCCTGCATCTTCTGTCAAAGTGCTTTTAAGGAGGATGAAAGCCACTTCAGGCAGTACTCAGTTGAGCCTTTGGTTTCCTCCAAGCACTCATCTTCTCCTGAGCATCTATTAGCAGTTTTGAGCTACCTGCAGCTGGTGAGGAATGCACATCTTGCTGTAAGGTGGATCTGTTGTTTTTTCTAATTTCCTGGGAGACGCTTTCTTCTTGTTCTAGTGTCTCTCTCTCCATTTTTGGTCTTTAACTGGGATATAACTGGGGGGGTGGAGGGTGGGGGAGAGTGTGTGTGTGTGTATCTCAGGGGTCAAGGGAAGTAACGTCTGTCTTGCTTCCCTAGGCAAAGGCTCTTCAGGACTGATTTTTTTGTTGTTCTGTTCTTATTTTCTGGACAGACCTGGAGTTAGGAGGGACCCTGTTATTTCCTATTGATGATAAAAAATCCAGGAAAAAAGGACAAGACTTGGTGAGAATGAGAAGCTCCTTTTTGTGTTGCTCTGTCCACATGTTTTTGAAGCTGTGTGAAATGAATGTCATGACTTTTTCCCACTAATAATGGCACTGAATACTGAACATGGCTAAGCTGCAGTTAAACATTAGAGAAAAGGGGATCTTTTTCTCATTTATTAAAGCTAGTAGTTAGTCCTGCAGTTTAACAGCAGCAATCACTGTGTCTCTTAGTGCTGTATGTAAACTCCACTTCATTTTTTTGGTGTGCTTTCTGCTTAGTTGGCCTTGATTGTAGCTCAGCACCGGGATCGGTCCAACAACTTGTCTGGCATTAAGCTGTCTGCTTTGGAAAAGGGCCTGAAGAAGATTTATTTAGCAGCCAAGAAAAGGAATGGTAAGTGTTTGTGCAGTGGAACAGTGAATCCTTAACATGTGTGACTGCACCTAAAGATGATGACCAATTTCCACCCCTCCTGTACTGTTTTTTCTGAAGTAAGAGTGAGATCTCTATGGCAGATATGTCGTGTTCCAAAATATTTCTTCTGTTCACATTGGTTAGCTTGAAGTCCTTACCTAGATTGCTTTGTGTATATCTTGTCCTATTGTGTGTATCTTGTCCTAAAGAGTGTGCACTCTGTTCCCTCCTTCTCAGCAACAGTGCATCTTCCACGAATCGGGTACGCAACAAAAGGTTTCAACTGGTACGGTACCGAGCGGCTCATCCAAAAATATTTGGCAACACGGGGTGTCCCCACTCTTATGTATCCTTTTGGAGTGTGTATTATTTTGTTCATAATCTAATATTGAAATGTTTCCCTGAATACCTTGGTGGATGCAAAGCAAGGAAGCAAGGCAAGGCAAGGCACAGATGCCACAGTCTGACTAAAGACGTGGTTTCTCTGACTTTGCTGTCATCCAGGTACTCGTTCCACAGTAAGGACTTCCCATTTTAGGTGAAAATGACAGGTTAGTGTGATTCATTATACCTGTCAGAGTTTGTTAGAACTGGGTGCTAACAGTTGACAGCCATCACCTTACCTGTATATGCCACGTCTGTGGGGGAGATGACTGGTATTTCAGAGTAAGGGAAGTGACTCAGAAAGTATCAAAAGTGAGAATGTGAAAAAAGCATTACAATGTTTTTTGTTCCAAGCAAGTGATAACCTGCTTCCTTGGCTGAACATGGTGGAGTTGGTGTGTGTTAGGACAGGCTCTTACAGCAAAAGAGCTCATTGCTTTCACCTTCTGGGAAAGCAAACGGAGGTTTATGAGAAGGCTTTGTTTTGTCACTTCTCTAGGAAGACATGATTTGCTATTCTACCACTGTCAGCAGTTCTGTGAAACTGAAAACCTGAAACAAAGACTATAGTATTGAGAGCATTCTGCCTCCTTCCTTGGAGAATCTCTTAGTGGACGTGTTGTCTGGCAGTCCTTGACAGCATTTCCTTGACACTTCTTATTAGATATTACTTCCCTAGGAATAAAGGCTCTTCCTCCACTTCACAAGCATATTCATCTTCAATGACAGTCTCAAAGCCATGAAGATGCAGTAATTTCATTGGGAAACACGCACAAAAAGCCGAGGATCTTTTCAACGTCACTCAGACGTTCCGTGTGCATCCACTTCAGAAACGTCAGTTACACAGTCGTTATTTGCCCCTGCATCTCTCTGCCTTTATTAGCCAGAACATTTACATCTTATCGATGGCTCTGGAGAGGACTGAGACTGCCTCAGATTTCAAAGAGTCTTTGGATAAGGATGTTGGCTCAATCCCAGACCTGTTTGGGAGATGGAAAATTAAACTTTCACTGATGGTCAGTTGTTACCCCTTACGTTAAGGTATTGCTAGGGCTTGGAATATAGTATTGTTTGGGCATATTTTCCCCCCCTTCAGATTTCATCCTCTGTCTCACTATACTTCTCTTCAATCAGCTTTTTAGTGGTTAACTGGGACTCTGTGCACCTGCCCACATGGACGTCTCAGTGGAAAGGAAGCTGTCTGCACTAACAACACCGCGTGAGAACCACGTAATATAAATTGTTGACACTGTTCCAGTACCCCAGAAGTCCATTTGACTTGCTTTTGTTCAAATACAAAATTTATCAATATTCAAATACAATCACATGCTTACAATTAAGCAAAATGCTACCAGTATTCTGGGCAAAGGTGTGCAAGGCTGCCAAAATTTGTGTCTGACTTTATAAACGACACGTTTCCATCTCCCACAACTGCTTTTTCATTGCACAGTTCTTTGTTGCAGCTGTTATGCAATCCAGTTCCTTACTGCTGTCCAAAAAGCTGTGAGAAACGTTCCCATGACCCTTTGATTAATTTTAAGGAAATCATAATGCAGAGTTTTTGATGTTGGCTGTACTCTGTTGCAACAGAACTTTCCTGTTTTGTGCATTGTTGGCGCTGTTAGCATATTTTTTCAGAGTTTTTTAGTACAACCAGGCAATAGTAGCTCTCCTAGTAAGTGTTTTGACCAGAGAGACTGTGAGGTGCCAAACTTAATTCAATTTAAAGTTCAGCTTCCAATAGGAAATCACCCCACAAGCAGTGGAAAGTATGTCTTTAAATATCTAATTGCCAACACGCATCGCTGGCTGCGTTTACTTAATAATTTCAGGCCTGATTCTGACGTGGCTTGTCATGCTGAGTGGTGTGCTCCACACCAGGAGAAGCCTTCCTGTGTTGGATACTCGGTCATTCACTGTTAAACCCCAAGTGACTGGTTATCTTTGAGCCTGCTGAAGCTTAGGTAAGCTAGTGCTGCATAGCACCTCTGTGGGTAAGACCTTTCTTGCAGCAGGAACAACGCCTATGGATTTGGCGAAGGGCTTGCAGGATCAGAGTCTGACTCTGTGGGGTGGAAGGTGGTGAGTAGATAGATGTACGTGTTTTCCCCCCTTCCCTGTCACACAAACTGGCACTCTTCCAGCAGGCCGGCTGGCGGCACTGTTAATCAGCTGCAGCAGCACATGTTGCTCTTTGGCTCCCTGTCGGGAGAGCAAGGCAGTGGTCTCCAGCCTGGAAAAACGCTCCCTCTTTGCCAGAATTAAAACACCAGTTATGCTTTTCTCAGTGCCGCCTTGACTCAACTCGTAATTCCAGCCTGCAGACTCAAGGCTCTGTTCCTCCACCTCTTCTTTTCCTGTATATTTACTGCCCTTCTTTAAAAGGTTTCATTCCCAAGCGTTCCAGCGTGTGCTGTCTTGTTCCTCAGCTTCACACACACCTATGGCCAAATCCCAGCCCACCTACGGGTTTTCTGGCCACCATGCAGTTACACGTGGAACAGGATTCGTCTCGTGGCTGGGTCTCCCAGAATAGGTCAAAGTAGTGCTTCTACCACCACTATGGCCAGTTATTCTGATTTAAGGCCTCATGCTTGCTTTTGTTTCTACAAGAAGATGGGGTTCTGCCTCTGTCCTGTGTCCCCACCCTGCTATAACTCATGACTAGAGTTTTAAAGGAAAGGAGGGCATGGCTGCCTGCCTGTTCATGTCCCACACCCTCTAAGATAAGGTCCAGAGGGGGCTGCAGGGTTCCTGGCACACACAGAGAGGAAAGGTCTTGGTGTGCAATAGATTCTAACTTGGGGGCAAGTCAGACAAAAGATGTTCTCTTTTCCCCCTCTAGTCCTATTGGCCTGTACAGAAAAAATCTACCTTTTTTTTTTTTTCTTTTTTTTGAACAATATTCTTTAATGTTCTTTAAATCTGGTTAACCCAAAAAAAAGTTCTACCTCTGTCTGCTTTGAAATGGAAGTGAGATTTCAACTTGAATCCTGAACTGGGTTTTGCAGAATCTCTGCCAAGTGAAGTTTTTCTAGTGTTTGCTGCCCACCACCATTTCTCTTTATTTGGGCAGAAATCATGTATTTTTGGATAATTAATTCCATAAAGGGCTTAGTAGCTTTTATGCAAGTTGCTAGGCGAAATAAATGTGTCATGCTGTTTCTTCAGCTGTGCTGTACTACACATTTTCCCTTCCTAAATAGCAACCACCCCAAAAGGGAAGGAAGGTGTTCTTTTGTAGTCATGTCCCTCTGGCCTCTCTCTTCCTCTGAACACAATTTTCTGCAGCGTAAGAGCTGAAATGTAGCTCCTCGTGCGTATCTCAGTGCACATTTACTTAGACTTTAGATGTATTCTGCTAGATTGAGGTCAGTGGCACAGAGCAAGATCGTGCACAGTTCAGGCTGGCTATACAAGCAGTTTCATCAGATAGGAGCTAGGAAGTGGCATCCAGTCTCAGTGAAAAACTTCTCTGCCCACCCCGTGCTGGAGGCTCCAGCTGATGCCACGTAAGAGTGGGCAGTAATTCAGAATTACATTTATACTTGTGCTGGACCAGCTCATGCTTGTGTTTCTTCCTTGACATGGCACTGCCTCTGATTCTCAAAGCGTTGTGCAGACAAATTCTGTCTTTGGTGAGGAATCTCTGTGACCTGTAACTTAAGAATGATCTTTCTGTCCTACTCAGGAAACAGTAAAAAAGTGGAGAAACCAATCAGGTTCTATGGACATGTGTAGGTTTGTGATTTTGTCATGTACAAAAATGATCTGGATATGTCAGTGGGTGTTGGGGAAGGTGGAGTCTGGATTTTGGGGACAGAAAGAGGAAGACTGCTTCCCAGAGTGATGAAGACGATCTACAGCAAATTGAACCTCAGTATCTTAACAAAAGTATTGCATGTACATGTCTCCAAACAAGGCAGAATCAGGCCCACAAAAATGACCAGTAGAAAAATATAAGGATAAGTAGGTGGATTTGTTTTAAAATAAGTGACTCTAATGATCCTGGAGTAAAAAGAAAGGAAACCTTTGAGCAAAGACGTGACTTAAAAGTGTAACCTGTATGTCAAGTCGTGTGAAAACTCCCACCACTTTACGATAGATGATTCCAGAAGAGACAGCATAGACCTTTATTTAGGTAGTTTGACTGGATAGCAGGTTGGTTGTGCACTGTGGTCAGCAAGTCAAAATGTGAGACAGAGTTATTCAGAACATTAAGGGATTTGTTGTAAGAAGGCATAATGTCCACATTCCAGAAAGTAACTCTTCCAGTTCCTTCAAGATCACTTGTGTTCCACAGCTGTCACTGAAAATCCGTCTCTGGCTGGTCTTCTGTACAACTCATGCTTTTCAGAGTGAAAAACACAAGTCTGAGGAATGCAGTAGCAGGACTGGTAAAATTACAGATGAGTATTTCCTCTAAAAAAACAGCTCTCTGTATCATTTTGAATTCCTTGCATGAGTGAGTCTGTGTTTTCCATGCTGGACTCTGCCATCTACCCATCTTGGCCTTGGGCAAATGGTATTGCATTTGTGGGAAAACACCAAGAATCTTCTGAAAATGTGCTGAGGACAAAAATTGTCTGGATCCTCATGTTTCAGCCAGAAAAAGAATGTTCCTCCTTGCACTTCCTAGCATTTTATTGAGTATTTCTTCCGAGTTATGGATAGAATCAGTCCCCTCAAGGATCTACATCGAGTAAGAAGGTCAGTCATACTTCTATTGGAAAAACAAACCAAAGGAGTTTAAAGGAAGCCAGAAGCTGCTGCTTGTAAGATCTGAAAAAGTCCCATTTTTTGCTGCCTTGAGCAGAAAATAATTATTTTATCAACTTATTTATTGAAATAAATGCAGGGCACCTACTAGCCTTCCTCTGCTACTTCCAGTGAACTTGAGGTTCTAGCATCCGCATTCACATGATAAGGATTTTTTTTTTTTTCCAAATAGAAGACAGACAAGTTAGGAGCAAATCAAAGATATTTATGATCTCATGCAAGCCTGCTGCAGAAAAGAGGCAAAGAACCTGAGCTCATATCCCTTTTCTGTGTGCTACATAACGAAACAGGCCAAGTTTGGGCCTGGTTTCATTTCAGTGTCCTGCCTCTTCATCTCTTGATCTGTATGTCCATCTAAAAGCATGTCATAAAGTGGTGCCAGTCCATGGACTTGACTACTTAGAGATCCTGCCTAAAAGATCCGCTGTCCACTATGCCAGCAGGACTGGTAAAAGACCAAAACAGAAGGGAACTGAACAGTGAAGGTGTCTTGCGTTAGAAGCAGATAGAGCATACTCTGGACCAGAGACCATCTTTGTTTGAGATGGACATACTGGAGTGAGTCTAGCATAGGTCCACTAAGATAATTCCGAAGTTGGAGCATCTGACGTGATCAGCCCAGGAGAGGCTGGGAGAGCTGGGATTTTTTAGCCTTGAGAAGAGAGGCTTCGGAGTGGAATCAATGTGTATAAATAGGTGTCAACATGTATGGATACCTGGTGGAAGGGAGTGAAAAGATGAGGCCAGACTCTTCTTGGAGGTATCCAGTGAAAGGAAAAGGGCATAGGTACAAACTGAAGTACATGAAATTCCATTTCAACATGAGAAAAAACTATTTTTACTATGCAGCTATTAAACACTGGAACAGGTTGCCCAGGGAGGTCGTGAACTTTCTTGTCTTTGGAGATACTCAAAACCCAACTTGGCACAGCCCTGAGCAACCTGCTCTAGTTGACCCTGTTTT